AGCTGAGGCTATATAATGCCTTGCCAAGAACACTTTATTAGAGATTTCTATGTTGGCTTCTGGTGTAGATTAGATGACACCTCAAAATCATCCAGTTCTTAACCGCTGTAGATCTGTAATATTGTTGTATCCAAAACAAATAGTTACAATATGGCCTGATTCGCAAGAAAGACAGGTGCTGAGAATTCAGCACCAAAGACAGTGCTTCAACAGGTGGGACTGACCTTGTTATCTGTAAGAAAGCACAGATGGGTAAATGGGATATTGGGTTGGCCCAAAATCTCGTTCGGGTTTTTCCATAAGATGCTATGGAAAAACCCAAACGAACTTTGGGGCCAACCCAATACTAATCTGATCAAAATTCCAAACGCAAGTGCCTGTGAACAACTCACACTTCATGAAGGTGCCTGTGAGGACTCTGAGGACCATGCTTCATAACGGACATCATACTCGGACTTTCCATGGTTTTTACAGGGCTGGATTAAATGACTCCACATTTATATAGTTCACTGTAGAGTTTATAAAATGTCTTTACTCCCATCCTAATAACAGTCAAGATTTAATGAGTGACCTCCACATTTCTAAACCTAATGACTAATTATTTGACACATGATTTTACTTATTTATTTTTGGTCTCTCCCCTACTAGAATGTAAATGCTATGAGGGCAGGGATTTTTTGTCTGTTTGGCTTACTGCTTTATTCCCAGCACTCAAAAAAGGTGCCTTTTTTGGGGGGGGCAGGGACATAGAGTGTGTGCTTGCTAGATGTTTCCTTAATTAATTAATCAGTCACATCTAACTCTTTTAATAGGTTACTTAAAGTCACACAGTTACTAGGGTTTTGTGTATAGGCAGTCTGATTGTAAAGGCTGAATATTTAGCCACTCTGCTAAGCTGAAAAAACATCTTTACTATTCACAGAATAAATATATCTGAACCCTAAAATTCTCTTACTCTGTTTTGACTGAAACTTGTAGATGGGATCGGAAGCAATGAAATGAACTGACAGTAAATCATTCAACCTTGCCCACAACCATCCTGCAACCAATGCCCATTTCTGCTTTCCTTTAATTTTTTAAATGTAATATAACTTTGCCCTAACCTTTGTTTTTAATCTTCTAGTGATACAGATTTGCTGAATTCTGGTTTTTACTTGACTCAAGACATTTTACCCCTTTCTAAAGGGAGTAAAGCATCACTTAAAAAAAAATACAGTGCTTCTGTTTCTGGCCTGCTTTACAGTTGCTGGTTTTCATGTTTACTTATAGTTTCCTTTATTTCTCGCCCTTTTCTTTGCAGATTGTTGTCTTCTGGCTTTTCTATGATAGATTGGAAGGCTGCCTTTATGTTCCAAAAAAGTATACCTAAAAAAAATCTTAGTATCAAAAATAAAATAGTCATTAGCTATTCTATCCTGTCTAAAGTGGGATAATTAGCAGATTTTTATTTACATTCATCAATCCTCCAACTCTTTCTTAGTTTTTGTTGACATAAGAGTGAATTACAGACCCAGATCACAACTGTTAACTTTTTACATTATACATCTTTTCTTTAAGCAATTGCTTTTAATATTAACCTCTTTGTAACATGTTTAGAGCAATTATTTAGCTTTAATGTGAAATTTAATTAGTTTCCATGCTCACTGTGGGCCTTTTTATTTCATATTTCTCTATTCTTGATTTCTTTATTTTGATTCATTGCTTGGTCAGTTGCTCTTTGAATGATTTATTAGAAGCAGGACCTGTGGGACCCTCAGGATGGTGAGAATGTCTTTCTGATGCATTTACACAAGAACAACAACTTGGCTGGTAAGAAATCTGTGGGTTATAACATCTCCTCAAAAATCCTCCAGGCTTAACTGCATTGTCTTCCGCCCTTTATGATATGGTGAAATCTGAGGCGGCCAAGCAGAGATGTGTTAGGCCGAGAATGACTTTCCTGCTCCTGTGTCCCTTTCACCCAACTCTTTTTGGTAAAACTTAATACTACACAGTAATTTGAAATGGTGTGTGGTTTTTCTCTTGCTAGAAAAATACAGTACTCTGAGTGCCAGCTCCCACAGCTTTTTCCTCTCTGTTCCTGTGAGGCCGACTATACCCTCAAGACACCTGGCATAAGCACCCATCCAGTTCCATTCCTGCTTGTGTTTCATTACAGCAAACCTTAGCTCCCAAATGGGTGTACACACGGGGTGGGATCAGAGGCATGAGTAACTAAATGGCTTTGTTTATCTCGGAAGCAGTAGTAGAAACTGCTTCTTAGATGAGGCAGCTTCACAGTGGGGTGACTTTTGCCCAATGGCAAAACCGCGTGTCTTGAAAACGGTTTCTATTATATGATGTCTGGGGGGCAAGACCTCCAGCAATCTTCCTGCCTCATCTGCTGTTCTTCTAGGACCTACCATGCTCAGGTTGGGGAAATCTCTCCTGGGGTCCATCTTCTAGTTCCCTGGGTTCTACAAACTTGGTCTGTTGCTGGGTTTTCAGGAGAATCTTGGTAGGAATGCGATAGCAGGTGAATCGAATGAAGCTACGACTCTGCTCCACAGCATGGAAACCCAACAGCACCTCTTGATATGTTGCCAAGAGCAGGGAAAGCCATCCCTTCTCAGGGTTGTGCTGAACCAAGAAACTGGCTCATATGGGATGCAGAGAACCAAGAAGAAGATGAGCTCCCAGATGCTTCTGGCCATCTTTATATGTCTTCCTCCACAATACATCAGAGTGTTGCATGCAGAGGTAAGACCAGATGGACAGGTGGAAGGCAGTCTGGCTTCTTTTTGTAGTTTTATACTCTCTGTGAGGAATGTTGCTTGAACCAGTAATGAATGCAGAACTGAAATACCAATGTGGAATCTAAATGGGTATGTGGACATTTTAAATGTTAATTAGTTTCTCAATCCAGGTTTCTCATAAGGTAATGACTGCCACTGACAGACTAGACTATCTTGGCCACAGGCTGTTCTGTAAGAACTTTAGCAAATCTTGCTTCTGTCTCAGCTTTCCCTTCTCCAGTGAGCCTCTCACTTCTCCAGAAACACTGTGGAACATGGCACATAAGATTCCCTTACATTTATAGAAGCTCTTTGAGGGCACATACTACATAATCTTAATATGAACTATCGGGTCTAGCAAACGTCACTGTTCATTATCTATTTGTTGAATGAAATATGGCAACCTGAAACAAAACATGTCCACAAAAGCATCCTAGATGGAAAATACTTGAGTATAAGAGGAACTTAAAGATAGGTAGCTTGAGAATATAAGACCAGATGGGTCTGTGTGTATAGAGGGGAAGTGAATAGTGGAAAAGTTCTTATGTAACTGAAAAAAAATGCCACCTGAGAAGGTGATTGCACTGGTTCTACTGGGACCTAAAAGTATGGATCAAGAGCAATGGGTAGAAGCTACAATAAACGATATATTGAAGTCAGTTAAAAAAAAGCTTTCTTAGAGCCACAGCCCCCACAAAGATCAGCAAAGTTACCACATAAAGAAGTGAGTTCTCTGTCACTGGAGGTATTCAAGAATAAGCACTAACATCATCAAATAAATGCTGGAGAGCATGTAGAGAAAAGGGAACCCTCCTACCCTGTTTGTGGGAATGTAAATTGGTGCAGCCACTATGGAGAACAATATGGAGGTTCCTTAAAAAACTAAAAATAGAGTTGCCATATGATCCAGCAATCCCTCTCCTGGGCATATATCCAGAGAAAACCTTAATTCAGAAAGATACCTGCATCCTAATGTTGATAGCAGCATTATTTACAATAGCCAAGACATGGAAGCAACCTAAATGTTCATCATTTGAATGGATAAAGAAGATGTGATATATATGTATATATATATATATATATATATATATATATATACACACACAACTCAGCCATAAAAAAGAATGAAATAATGCCATTTGCAGCAACATGGATGGGCCTAGACATTGTCATACTAAGTGAAGTAAGTCAGAAAGAGAAAGACAAATATCATATGGTATTACTTATATGTGGAATCTAAAAAAATGATACAATCAACTTATTTACAAAACAGAAATAGACCCATAGACATAGAAAACAAACTTATGGTTACCAAAGAGGAAAGGGGTTGGAGGACTTTGGGATTAACAGATACATTACTATACATAAGACAGATAAACAACAAGGTACCAGTGTATAGTGCAGGGAACTAGTTACAATATCCTGTAATAAACCATAATGAAAAAGAATATGTATATATAACTGAATCACTTTGCTGTACACTAGAAAGTAACACAACATTGTAAATCAACTATACTTCAATTAAAAAAAAGAATAATTATTAACATCAGTTAACTGTGATATTGTAATATTGACTGAAGCACGGTTTTGTATGTAGGGGGAGGGAGGGAGACATTGGATGACCTTTCAGATCCTTTACAGCCCTGTGATTTTGTAATGTTATGACTGGCACTCCTCAGTAACCAAAAAAATATTTGACACAAAAAGGTTACCTTGTCTTTGGGAGAAAAATACTTCCTAATGTGACTAACGGTAATGACAAAGGGGTCAGCAGTCACTGATTAACTAAAACATGTTTAGTGCATTAACAGATATCAAATTTATAGGTATTCTTTTATAGATGAGGAAATTAAGTCTTAGATCTGCATATGATTTGCCCAAGTGAAACACCTTTCTATCCTCTAATACAGGGGTCTCAGAATTTTTTTCTGTAAAGGGCCATATAGTAAATATTTTAGGCTTTATGCAGCACACAGTCTGTCTCAACTACTCAAGTGTACTGCTGTAGCATCAAAGCAGTTACAGACCACGGAAATGAATAGGCGTCACTGTATGAAAAACCAAAAACCAAAACCCAACAACCCTTTACTCACAAAAAAACACATGGGTCAGGATGATTTGGTCCACGGGCCTTAGTTTGTCAACCTCTGCTCTAAAGCCATGCTGCCTTCTCATTTAAGAATGGAAAAACAAGGCAAGACATGGCCTCCATATGGCCATACTTACTCCATTTGCTTTGCTGAGTGCCTGGAAGTAGATGCTGTAGCTTTTCAGAGGGGAAAGAGGTGGGTTCCAGTAGCCATTGTATGTCTTGTTGTCGCCCACTGTAAATGGCTGGGTGACAGGCAGGTTGGCAGGCTTCAATTCAGCAGCAAAGTAGTGTAGAGAATCGAGGCTGGAGGCATTCTTATAGCTCACCGGCACCGAAAAGCACTCAATGATGTCAGCTGCCCTCCGTGACTTCTGAAGTCGCTCCTCCTTGACAACCAGCTGATAAACACTGGACAGGAAAGAGGAGAGGCAGATGAGCAACCCCCTGGAGGGATGAACTTTTATCATCGTCACTTCTGTCTGCAACTTAAACCTCTCTCCTGAGCTTCAGACTTATAAACCCGCTGCTTTGTAGAAACAGATTTCCATTTAGATGCTCCAAAGCCAGCTCACACTGCATATGTCCAAAAATGCAACTCAGTTTCAACCCCTACAAACCTGTATGTTCCTCTTCTCCATTTCTTTCCTTAGTGAGGGTAGCACTGCTCATCAAGTGGCCAGATCTTGAAGACGGGGCTCATTCTCATTTCCTGTATCCTTGGTTTGCACTCTGCTTTGATCACCAAGCTCTGTTGACTTGATATCAGCAATCTGAACCTGCCCCTCCCTTTTTTTCTCCTCCCATCAAACTGTTGAGGTTGGGCACTTCCCCACCTCTTAGCTGAACTCAGCTAGTCTCTTTGCCTCTAATTGATTGGATCAACTCACCAGTCAATCCACTGACCTTCCTGAACATAAACACTGTCCCTCTTCAAGCACGTTCATAGGCTCTCCGTTCTTCAAACGAGACAATCTAGAATCCTCATCCTGACCTTTGGGGCACTTTGTCTGGCTTCTAGTCTACCCCTCAGACAGTCTTATGGTAAACCCCTCATTGCAGCTGCTGCAGACCCCACGCTATCGCACAAACCTCCTTTGGATCCCAGCCTATGCCATCACCAGTTCATGCTTCCTCCATCTGCAATGCCCTCTCATTCAACTTCTGCCTGTGGAAGCCTTTCTCTAAAGGCTAAGCCTATCTTTCATCTCCTCTATGAAGCCGGTATAGATCCTCGAAATCTGAATGACTTTCCCCCTACTTTGCTCCTCCACTGTTCGTTAATGGCTATCTGCTCGGGACGGCAATAACATAAGCATGGAACTGCCGTTTCTAGGTCTAGACTGTGACCTTTTAGGCAGTGGAAGTTGTGGCTTTGTTATCTCTGTATCACTCTCCTCCATCCACATACTGCTCAGCTGGTTGCCTGATACCTACATAGTGATCAGTGAATGCCTGTTCAAATGGACCAAATTGAACTAAAATTGAAAATAAGCATGAAACCCAACCTGACAGGATGCAGAAACCCTAATCAAGATAAACAGCGATTCTTCTGAGCTCCTGTCTAGTGATCTCACACATTCCCTTCAACTTAGAAGGACTGTAAGAAGGTGTCAATGTGTGAAGAGAGATGACCGAGCCTTTTTAAAACACCAACTGCACGCCAACTGTGTAGGCTCCTTTTATAAAAGTTATCCTAAATTTTGTGAATTTTGATAACATTTTACTATCTCTTCAAATGCCCACAGTATGTAGTTCTCTTGAATAAATGCTCTTTTTTTTTTTCTTTTTTAAGATCTTTATTGCACATATCTCTGGGACTCATGATTTAAGCCAATTATCCAAAGAGTACCTCCGGGAACTTTTGCAAATTAACGAAGTGATTGCAGCAATGGCCTCAAACCAGTCATTTAAAGATGACACAGTGAACGAACACATGGTTTATAAAAATGGAACGTGGTGAGTGCTACCATTCTTCAATCAGGCTACCCATCTAAAGACACCTGGTTAAGAAGCACAACTCGGTGGAGACAGAGGTACAGGATTACTTAATTAAGGAAAAAAGGCTACAGAGGGACTGACCCAAGGAAACATGACACAATCAATGTGTCAAGTCTTCCCCTGGATCTCCTTGAGCATGGGGACGGTCAGCAATGTGGATGGGAAACAAATGGGCATGTGAGTGCTGTCCCTGGATGAGTGATATGGGAGTGGAGGTGAGCAACAGCTCAATGAGATGCCTGCTATCTGCTGTGCACATCTGGACAAGAACTCAACAGCCCAGAGTGCATGTGAGTGACATGTGAGTGAATGTGGCCAACCTCTCTGGGAGTACAAACTACATCTGAGTGTGAACGATGTCCAAATGAGGATCTGTAGGACCTGGGTGTCTGAAAGCTGAGCGAACATGTATACTCTCTGAATGAGCGGGGGTAACATCCAGACAAGTGTGAACCTGAGTGTTCGGACACCTAAATAAGTGTGTATGAAATCTGAGTGAGTGTCTCCAACAGCCCAAAGTGTGTGTATGTATTTGTGTGTGTGTGAGACATCCAAATGTGTATATAAAACTGAAGTCAACAGGGCTTCCCTGGTGGTGCAGTGGTTGAGAGTCCGCCTGCTGATGCAGGGGACACGGGTTTGTGCCCCGGTCCGGGAAGATCCCACATGCTGCAGAGCGGCTGGGCCCGTGAGCCATGGCCGCTGAGCCTGCGCGTCCGGAGCCTGTGCTCCGCAACGGGAGAGGCCACAGCAGTGAGAGGCCCGCGTACCGCAAAAAACAAAAAAACTGAAGTCAACAAATAATTAAATTAAATTATGACTTTACTATTCATCCTATCCTCAACTCTGAGGTCTTTTTCAATGGTACCATCACTATGTTTATCAGGACAAGCTCAAAACAGTCCCTGAAAAACAGCACAAAGACCCAAGTCCCAAACTGAGGTCATGGGGTGAGAGTGGAGGAGCACCTATGCCAGTTTTCAGGACCTGTATTACTTTACATATAACAAGAATCTCGAGTAAAACTGAAGCTGGCTAGTGTGCTAAGGACTACTTGTTGAGGGTCCATTACTCATGTGACTCTAATCTATGAGGGAAAGGGCAAAAAGGAATTAAGAGAAAAGGAGCAACAGCCTCTTGGGTTCACCTGTCCATGCTTGCAATAGCACCTACAATACTCTACACTGGGCTTGGGGGGCACTCAACCGATCCAGCCCTCATGCCCTCTTGACCAGGTCGGGAGGGACCAACAGCCTCATCCCTAGAAGCAGGACGTTGAAAAGAGCTATGGGTCCCTGTTTTCCCCTGAGGCCCAGCCTATCCCTAATCACCACTTGGGTTAATCCCACCCACACGAGAAGACCTCTGTCTCTGTTTCTCAGCCCAGAACTCTCATGCCACCCTTGAATCCTTCTGTCATCCTTACCCCAAAACCTTGGGAGCTTCACTGGGGCTGGATTCCACTTCCTAGAATCATTCTGTTGTCCCTGTCCCTCCGATAACGGGATGGATCAAGAAGCGTCACAAGGCTGGCCCGAGGGCTGCCCATGAGTGGCATGAGATTCTGCAGTCATGGACAGCCAAGCAGTGGGGTCTTCATTGAGCTCTGACACGTGAATGCTGCCAAGGGCTACAGAGAGGCAAATCATCGCTCCAGGGGTCAGTCTGAGACCCCACTGCCCCCTACTCCCCACCAATGTGATTATTGAGGACTCACTTGTCAATTCAACCAACTCAGCAGCCCAATTACAGATGAGGAAACTGAGGCTGAGAGGCTGAGTGCCACATGGGTGTCAAACTGCAGCAAAAGTAGAAATCCAGACCCACAGTCAGTTCAGTATCCTTTCTTTTTCTCTACCTTCCTTCTTCCATAAGCCAACAAAATGTGCAGAGGGCCTTCCAAGCATTTTTTTTGCTTGACAGCTGAAATTGCATAGCTCTATTCCACCCAGCCTCGTCTGAAATCACAAAGACTAGCAAAGGACATTTTTGGGGTTAAACTGTGTTGTCAACATATGGTTCACATACAATTGGGATCAATGTGCCAGAGCACACCCAGCAGCTTCCCGAGGCCCACTGTGTCTGTAGTCTGTCCATTCAGAGGCAAATCTACAATTGCAGCCAGAAAGCTGTAAACCATTTCGTCATATAAATCCTTTTTTGCCAGGGAATGCAGCCTCTCTCAAAGATCTGGGAGTTCTGACTAAGGGGAAGGAGTGGTTAGAATAAACTATTCAGGATCATTTGTAAAGAGACAGGATTTTTTTAAAGTAGAAAATTCCTGATAGTACGAGAATAACTTATTCTTTTCTACGCTTACCTCACAACATACAATGTTTACTCATACATTTCCCCCTCCTGTGATACCTTCTCTATTTCTCCCAATGAGAAGGTGGACATTTATGACCACATTTTCTGCATAATTTATTATAAGGGTCTCTTCTTTCGGGACCCTGAAAGCTAGGCTGCAACCTCACCTCAATGCATAAGGCCAAGGGGTATTTGTACCTCGTTTACCTCCTTAGCTTTGGTTTCCTCACCGTCAATGTCCATTGTTCATCCTCTTTCTACAGTGACTGATACGTTCCCTCCCCTCTCCTCCCTGACTCTTCAGACCCAGGCTTGCCAGCAACTTCTATATTTTAGTTTCAGTGTCTCCTGAGACAAGAATACTACACTCTGGTCCAAAGTCCAAGACCCCAGCTCGTAGAGGTCAATAGCCTTAGATGCCTTTAAGAGCAAAACCTGCAGGAACCTCTGCAGGCTTTGGAAGAACCCTGCCGCTGGACTCTCATGCCTCGTCTGCTTTCCGAATTAATAGTTTAGAGGATGACTCACGCTCCTCTGACCAGGTACCACTGAGGGGCACCAGGGACCTATCAGACCCATGCCTCCATCATAGACACATCCTGTGGCGCCCTTTCTATATCCAGGGAAGATGTTTCCAGCCAGAGGCTGTATCCATTCAGAATGTTGAAGTCAGAAGACAGATAGAGGGTATGCTGCCCAACTTCAGAAAGTGGCATATTTGAGCCAATGTTCTCCCAGAAATAGGTTTGTTTTAGTTCAAGTTCTTCTAGAAACAGACCCTCAGCTAAAGTTTCAATGCAAATAATCTGTTAAAGAAGTGGTCCCAGGAGAAACCAGTAAGGGAGTGAGGGAAGAGGAGAGAACAGGGCAGAAGCTAAGTAAGAATATGACTTCAAGGCAAGGTCCCAGACTCAATCTGATCCCATAGGGAGCTCTGGAGCATAAACTGTACCCCACAGTTTGTCTTATCTCAAGCCAAGGGTATTTGAGCCTCTGATACCAATCAGTTATTGGTTATGGACCCTCCTGCAGAGACAAACTCCCAGGTACTCCCAACTTTGTGGGTCAAACAAGGTGGCTCTGGTAGCCTAACGGCAACC